GAGGTCCCAGGACAGAGCCTTGAGGCACTCCACTTACAACATTTTCCCACTCTGACTTGATTCCATTTATACTAACTCTCTGTTTCCTTTGGTATAGCCATGCCCTAATCCAGCTTAATATAGCACCCCCAATACCATGAGACTCTATTTTTTAATCAGTCTTTCATGTGGCACTGTATCAAAAGCTTTGCTAAAGTCAAGGTATACAACATCGCAATCCTTACCACTATCAACTGCCTCAACAATGCTAGAATAAAAAGATAACAAATTTGTTAAACATGAACGGCCATTTATAAAACCATGTTGCGACTCAATTATTAATTTATGTTTTTCAAGATGAAGACGAATTTTATTTGCTATTATAGATTCGAGTAACTTCCCCACAATAGACGTTAGGCTAATTGGTCGATAGTTAGACGCAAGTGATCTATCTCCTTTCTTAAAAACTGGTATCACATTAGCAACTTTCCAAAACTCTGGCACTCTGCCTGACTCTATTGATTTATTAAATATGGTTGACAGTGGGTCACAAAGCTCCTCTTTGCATTCTTTAAGCACCCTAGCAAACACTTCATCCGGCCCTGGGGATTTGTTTGGTTTGAGTTTTACTATTTGTTTAAGAACATCCTCCCTGGTAACTGCTAAACTCGTCAACCTGTCCTCGTCCCCACCCACATAGACTTGTTCGGCTGAAGGCATATTGTTAAGTTCCTCTTTAGTAAATACAGATACAAAATATTTATTAAAAATACTACTCATCTCTTCATCACTATCTGTTATTTGACCTGTCTCAGTTTTTAATGGACCTATCCTTTCCCTAGTCTTAGTACGATATAACTGAAAAAACCCTTTAGGATTTGTCTTTGCTTGCCCTGCTATGCGAACTTCATAGTTTCTTTTTGCTTTCCTTATCTCTTTTTAACATTTCTAACCAGTTGTACGAATTCCTGTTCTAAAGTGACCTCCCCATTTTTAATCCTTTTGTACCAAGCTCTCTTTTTACCTATAAGGTTCTTCAAATTCTTTGTTATCCACTTTGGGTCATTAGTATACGATCTATTCAATTTGTATGGTATACTACGTTCCTGTGCTTTGTTTAGAATATTCTTAAATAAGTTATATATTGAATCCACATCGAAATCCCCATTTAAGTCACCTATCGCTGGGTTCATGTCTCGCTCCAAGACCGGCCCACACCCCATACCCAAGCCTTTCCAATCAATTTGACCCAAAAAATTTCTTAGGCTATTAAAATCAGCTTTTCGAAAATCTGGCACTTTAACAGAATTTTCTCCTACTGGTCTATTCCATTCTATGCTAAATCTGATTTCTTTGTGATCACTGCTCCCTAGCTCACTCCCTATTTCGATGTCATTAATTTGCGTTTCCCTGTTAGTTAACACTAAATCTAAAATATTATTTTCCCGTGTTGGTTCCTTAATGTGTTGCGTAAGAAAGCAATCGTCAATTAATTCTAGAAAATCTTCTGCTTCACTATTCCCTGTTTTGTTCAACCAGTTTATTCCGCTAAAATTAAAGTCACCCATGACATAAATACTGTTAGATCTATGACATAAATACTGTTAGATCTACAAGTATATGAGTGGGATTGGGTGGTTATAGAATAGGAGCTGCCTCGTATGGGCCAATAGGCCTTCTGCAGTTACCCTTGTTCTTATGTTCTTAAACCTTTAAGGTCCCAGCTACATGCTAGTGTCCTCACCAAGCAAGCACCAAGAGAATGGCAATGGTGGGCAGTAGTAACACACATGAATTATTCAATAATAAGTACAAACTCGTCCTTCACCTATGGTTAAGGAAAGTCTACTTGGAAGGATTCAATTTACATGAGATTAAGATTAGGATACAAATATATCTGGCAATACGGTGTTGATGTTAGTGAAAAAGATAAGGAGTGTAAATTATGTAGTATGCCGCACGCCCACACCTAAGAACATTATGTATTAGTGTCAACTTATTTAAAACTATAGAAATAAGGAAATAAGTAGTGTACCACATCAAATTGTTTGGATGTGTGATAATGGTATGATAGACAGTATACTTAGGAGCTACAAGAATTTTTTCCCAAGAGTGTAACACTTATATGCGGTGCTTACTATATTAACCTGCAATGTTAAATGGGATTCTTGTAATGTTATTTGTGTATTTGTACTCACTGAATTTGTGCGCCCTTTGAGGGACTTGAAGTAGAAGGGGGTAGAAATAGCCTAAGCTACTCTATCCCTTTGAGATGTATTTCTTGCTTATCTCAATAAACATACTTGAACTTGAACTTGGTCCTGGTCTAGATTTAGACACGGTGATGCCCTAAGCTATAAGAGCCCTAAACTGTCGAGACCCATTAACTTGGCAGTTGTTAACATAATATTGTTATGTAACATGAAAATATAATAAGCAACACTACCATAGGTAAACAAACATAAGAACATAAGAACATAAGAACAAAGGTAACTGCAGAAGGCCTATTGGCCCATACGAGGCAGCTCCTATTCTAAAACCACCCAATCCCACTCATATACTTGTCCAACCCGCGCTTGAAACAATCGAGGGACCCCACCTCCACCACGTTACGCGGCAATTGGTTCCACAAATCTACAACCCTGTTACTGAACCAGTATTTACCCAAGTCTTTCCTAAATCTAAACTTATCCAATTTATACCCATTGTTTCGTGTTCTGTCCTGTGTTGATACTTTTAATACCCTATTAATATCCCCCTTGTTATGTCCATTCACCCACTTGTAAACCTCTATCATGTCGCCCCTAACTCTTCGCCTTTCCAGTGAATGCAACTTAAGCTTTGTTAATCTTTCTTCATATGAAAGATTTCTAATTTGGGGAATTAACTTAGTCATCCTACGCTGGACACGTTCAAGTGAATTTATATCCATTCTATAATATGGCGACCAAAACTGAACTGCATAATCTAAATGGGGCCTAACTAGAGCAAGATATAGCTTGAGAACCACACCAGGTGTCTTGTTACTAACGCTGCGATTAATAAATCCAAGTGTCCGATTTGCCTTATTACGAACATTTATGCATTGATCCTTTTGTTTTAAATTCTTACTAATCATAACTCCCAGATCCCTTTCGCAATCCGACTTCGCAATCACAACACCATCTAGCTCGTATCTAGTAACTCTATCATCATTACCTAACCTCAGAACTTTACATTTATCAGCATTAAACTGCATCTGCCAATCCTTTGACCATTTCAAAACCCTATCTAGATCAACTTGAAGTGATAGTGAGTCCTCCTCCGAATTAATTTCCCTACCGATTTTCGTATCATACCTAAGTAACAAAAAACTAGTATAATTAAATGCAATAAGAATTGATATGTAAGCATAATTATTTAATAAAGAAATCGTATAAACTTATCTAAATAAGGATCTTCTTAAATAATTGGGTGTAATCAGTAAATGTCAATTGTTATGATATGATAATCAAGTTAAATCATAACAAATATAAATCATAATACAACTGTAATAAATTCAAAACTATTTAGATTTTAATACTCAATCTTTCACATGTATACATATAGCATGATAATAAGCAACTACCCCTTCCCCTTATGCATGACTAGGATTTCAATCTCACTCCACCTGCTCAAGACTAAGCTGCAACCCTGTTAGAACAGCCGGTTTTCAACATGAAAACTTTCGTCACAACACGTCAAGCTTCCGCATGTCAACAAGAAGTAAATAGTTATCAAGAGAAGTTATTTTATTAAATGCTTCACCCACGTATAATACTTCAAATACAAATAATCGCCAACAGAACCTGAACACCTAACCTAACCGACGCCTAATTATAAATACAATTTTTATGTATATTATTTTATATATGAGAACAAACTAATGTTAAATATACAGTATATTCAATTTGATGAATGGGTCTGAGGGAGGACAGCAGCTACTTTAAACATCCTAGTGAGGACGGGTTGCTTCCTGATTAAACTTTTGTGCCACCCCACTAGTCTAAGTGTATTTACAGTGAAGCTTTATGGAATTTGATATGCTCCAAAACATTTACTTTTCGTGCATTATTCGTTTTTGTTGTAATGGTTGGCCATACCAATGCTTCATGGCCCTTGAGCCATTTTCATATCCCGTGAAGACTAAATGTCTCCATGGGACAGGCATGGGTCATGCCTGTTCCACCACCCAGAAAAAATCTGTACTAAAATTTCTGCCCCATAATTCATAATACAATCCACAACCATTTGTAATTGTTAGGTATGATGAATAAATTGTGCATTATTAAATGTCTTATCTCCACGGCTTTCCTGGTGCCACCATAACAGGAAACTTTCTATATAAAAAAATATATATATACAGCATATATATATATATAATAATAATATTTGCCACATGATTAACTCTAGGACACCTAAATTAATAAAAATCTCTTACCTTATTGTAGATTATTAAACGGCTTTGTCCTGCTGAACGTTGCACATCTTGCTGAATGTTCCAATTTTCAGGACTGGAAATCATGCTCTCTTATATCCTTTCAAGGCAGTTACCCCTCAATGAAATCCTTGGTGAATTTGATACCTTCGTCATGGCTTTAATGATTTTTTTATCTTTTTGGTATTCTGAATGTTACACAAGATTTTTGTTTGTATTATTCTGTGAGTGCTAAAACACTTATCCAGGCCTGACACCTTCTGTGACAATTACTTACTACCCTGGAAACACAAACCGTCTCTATTTTCCGCTTGTTACAACTTGTAATAAAGTTGTTACATCTTGGCTTAACGTGTTTATGACGTATTAGAACGTTGTTACAACTTGCTATATTGGTTGTTATAACTGGTTAGGAAGGTGTTAAAACTTGTTCGAACGTTGTAGCAACGTTCTAGTTTCGGTGTGTGTTTGGCGGGTAGTCCCTTACGGGTGGTGTTGGGAGGAATAAGGTCAATAACATGGATGGTGAGCATTTAAATGTATAAGGATAAATAAAAGTATCTTGCTGGATTAACAAGTGTTTCATAATTTGCAGTGAAACTTTAATAAAGTATTTATTAGTACATAAAATGCTTCAGCTGGCATAAATTGTAATCAAATATAAAATAATTTGTCTAATTTTATATTAGCTATAATACTTTGTGCATTAATTTATATAGGCTAAAATGTGATCCTGCACTGACTGAACATAAAATAATTATAAGATATGTTTCATATTTTAGCATTTATTCCATACTGTACTAAAGTGGACTCTCTCTCACCGAAGAATTAGGGATTGTATTTGTGGTAATACTTCCCTAATATCCTCATCAACGTTCTCCAGGTCACATATACGATTTGAACTGACATTGAGCTCTATTAGATTTGGAAGGCCCTTTAAAACCTTCAGCTGATCTAAATTGTCTATTTTGTTATTTGCCACAGAGAGTGTTTCAAGATTAGTCAAACTTGCTAATGGGGCAAGATTTTGAATCTGGTTATTATCCAAATTTAGAATCCTACATGCAACAAGATTTTGTAAAGGTGAAATTGATATAAGATCATTACAACTTAAATCAACACTAATAGTGCTGGCAAGGAGATGGCTCAAAGTAATTCTTGTGAGATGGCTGTTAGAAAGTTGGAACTTGCTACCAATCTCGGCAACAATCCTGTGATGCTGGAGTGCAGTCTCCATAGTCAGCTTGCTTTCTGAAAGAATATAAAAAATATTAGCACTGCAGTTGCAAAATCACAATGCACTAAAGTGGATGCTACTGAATTCAGCCCACTGTTAATCTAAAATATTTAATGAATAACACACACACAAACAACAGGTTGCAATAAAGAAGAAAATCAATTAAGAAGAAAAAAAAAATATTAAGCAGAACAAATAAATTTATTAGAAGAAAATTAAAAGTGCGAGATCTAGCCAAAAGGCGGAAGAGGTGAAAAGATAGTGGTAAGTAGTGAAATGATGTGATAAAGAAACCAGTATACTGTACACTATTTCTAAAGACATTTAGGCATTATTGTACACAAACATAAGGACTGCAATAAAGTGCAACTCTTTGGTAAAGAGGGGCAAATGACTACCTTATAAAATTCTCTCAGTATTATCATTTTTAACATTTCTTTTTTAAGTTGTGGATGGAATTGGCTTCAAAAACCTCTTCCATCAGTGCACTTCACTTTCCTACCGCCCATACAGGGTACGAGAACTTCCCTACATCTTTTCAACTTGATCGCATATCTAACTTCCACCGCTGCCCCATTTTTCTACCTCATTTTAATCTAAGTAGGCTATCTTTATCCACTTTATCTATTCCACTCAAGATCTTGTTCAACGTTATTGTCTCCCCTCCGTGTCTTCTCTCTTTTAAGGTTGAGAGGCTGAATTCTCTCAATCTGACCTCATAGCTGAGGCCTCTCAATTCTGGCACTACCTCTCAAGATCATCTCAAGATAACCTAGTTGCAAACTTCTGAATTTTCTAAAGTTTATGAGTATGCTTCATATGGTGTGGGTTCTATGCTGGAGCTGTATACTCAAGTAATGTTCTCATATAGAGAATTTGTATGCACTTTAAAGCCTCCTTTTGTAGATACTGTACATATTATTGTCCAAAAATTGTTATATTTGCTAACTTACCAAATGCTGCTGATGTTATGTTCATATGAGCTAATGATGTTAGTGGTGGAATTATGTCTACCCTCTTTTTTTTTTTATCTAATGGCTTCTTGCAACTGTCTTGGTACTGTCTTTAAGGTGTAGTTAAATACAGGTCTCCTGTATCCCTTACCCATTTTTCACTGCTTTGCATTTATTTGGATTGAATTCCGACAATCATTTACCTCAGCAAAGTCATTTACATAACTTAAAAATAGCAATAGTCCTGGGACAGTCAAGGCACCTTATTACTACCAGGTGACAGCCCAGGTCATCTAAAGCTCCAGCCAGCCTGCTTCCTTTCTCGTAAGCTGCCTGAAATGAACCCCTTCGCCTCATGGGAAAGAAAGGAACAGGCTGGGAATGTGGAATTACCCAGGGATCACCAGAGAAAGGCAACTAATTATATTTACCTAGTATATTAAATTATTCAAATACAAAAGAGAAGGACGTGCCTACTCTCTAACACATTTGCCTCCAGAACTATAAGACAGACCGCAAGAGCTTTCATAGTGCCCACTAAATTTGCATCAATGTCATGGTAGATATTAATCCCAAGGGACAAGGAAACCAAATCCAAACTTACTTGAACAAAAAGATAATTATTACAATGATGAAATTAAAACAAAAATCAATATTTGTGTGCACTTACTCATATCTAAATAATATTTGCTGCGTAATGGGTCAAGCTCCTGCAACTGAGAAAGGTAACTATGGATCTTCTTTTGATGTGTGTGGGAGTCTAGAGCCCACATGACATCAACCAGAGTAAGCAGCACCCCTGAAAACAAGGTCAGCTTAGGAGAACAGGCAAAATAGATACATTTACATTTTTACAAATGATACTGAAGGCGGCACCAATAGGCTAGCATATCTCAAGACACAGCCAGGCTGGTGAAATGATCAAAGAAGCAGTAATTGTAAGACACTAGTAAGTGCTGGGGCATAATGATTTCAGTAAATGTAATGAGTATGGGCTGGGGCAAGGAACACGGGGGTGAAGAAAAGAGCACGGGGGTGGGGAAAAGAGCACGGGGGGTGGGAAAAAGAGCACGGGGGTGGGAAAAAGAGCACAGGGGTGGGGAAAAAGAGCACAGATTGGGGTGCTATGTTTGTTGGTTTTGCAGAGTGCATAGGGGATGTGGTAGTTAGGTTGCGTTTATGTCTGTATGCCTGTGTTTTTATTAAGTTTTAGTGGTGGTATTTATATTAGTTACAGTGGTTGTGTTTGTTTGGTCGAGATATTAATTTTTGTGGCTGTGTTTGTTGTAGTGATTGTTATTGTAGTGGAGAATTGTATTGTGGTATTTTTAGTAGCTACACGTATATACTGGGAATGGTTGTCGTTGGAGTGGTATATTTGTAGTGGTCTCTTTTATAGTTTTTAGTTCGTAGTTATATAGGGGTATGGCCAGTCATCACCAGCTGTTTATATTGACAGTTTTATACAGTAACTGGTAACAATTGTGACAAAATACAATGATTAATATGATATAAAAGGTGGTGGTGGACGATGACAATGTTGGGTTGACTGAAGTGGAGATTATGGTGATGAGGTAACCTCAGTAGACTGCCTTTTACATATACTCTAATGTACCTAATGCCATGGCAGAGTTTTAAGCTTCTGAGCCATCCATTACTGTATAAACACTGCTCAATCTGCACATTTTGGCTGGCAGGAATGCCCAATGACTAACAGAGAACTGGATAAAACAATGACCAAACCCCAGGTAGCCAGATCTGAAGAGAACAGTGCCAAGGGAGGTGTTCTGAATATCTACAAGTCAAATTTACAATCAGACATTATCACCAGCCTGAAGCAAGTTAATATGATTCCTTTTCAGAGTCCAGTCTGACATGTGAAATCCTACCTAAAACCTTCTTTTAGTTTGGCTCCAAGAGAAGAACACACAAGCACATTTCACCGAGGAAGAGGATCTAGGTGAAGTTAGTGCTAAGTTTAATCAAAAGCATAGTACAGTACTCACATTTGTTACCAGGGTCTAATTCATCCAGGGTGACACAATTTTCCTTTACTTCTTCAAGTGTTGATCGTGTAGTGTCGGACAATTCCTCCCCACATGCCTCCAATGCTGTAACCCATTCTATTGCCTGGGTTGGCCCAACATCTACAGATATTGACTTTTTCATTGAGGAACTGATGTTCATTATGACAGTGTGTGCCTCTTCTAAAGAAAGTTGCAATTTTGCCACCTGAAAAATTAAAATAATAGGTTCAGATGTTTCTAATGGTTGGAATGGTAATGTCACAATGTTGAAAGTACTCTTACAGGTATACAGTTCACTCCTAAATTTACATGGTCATAATCTATGTGAGAATAATTAAAATAATTTGTGGGAAAAGTTAAAATCTACACAAGTTTGTATGATGATGTGTCAAACATGAAATTAAAACAAGTCACAGTTTTTATTTTAAATATGCTATAAATGGGTGTGAGAGAGTTCTCTCAGTTTCCATCACTGCCAAGTAGCATGTTGCAGAGATCCTGCATGTGCATGAAAGTTGGGAAATTAACCCTATGTGTGCCCACAGTGCACAGGTCAAGTGCACAAAGGCTATCTCCCTTTATTACTGGACTAAAACCTAGCTTATCTGGTCTCTAGTGAGAGCCCATTATACAAGCAGCATTATGATGCTGCAAGGGTTATTATATGTCAAGTCCATAAAAGATTGAGGGCATGCAATATTTCCACATAGAAGAGAGCACTGGATCACCATCATAAGAGCTAATGGGTGTGCAAAACTGTCCCTGGCAGTATGGAGGAGATTAACAGGTCAGGTCACCGCAGAGGCCGACTTAAGATAATGTGACAGCCACGACATCACCAGCCCACGTAACCTCTGATAAACCTATGCTTGGTATGTCCAGTAGGCTTACATGAAGCCTAACAGATGATTGCTGATTAACTACCCTTAGAGAGAAGGGCTGAAACAAACTAGTGTGTCCTTCCTGCCTCAAGCCGTTATTCCAGCCTAGGATAGCCATTATAATAGACGTATTTCCGCTAGGGGCCACTAACTAAACCACATTGTCGAAATCCTTGGCTGTCAAGTTATTACGGCATTACTGTTTCATCAATAATACCTGCAAGCGGTTGAAATTCCTAAGTGTGAATATTTTCATTGAACCAAGTGAATTGACTGTAAAATCAGATATCATGAAGGGCTGCATCCAGTTGCAACAGGACTGCAAGAAGCATGCCCCCTAGATTGCAAGATATCTAATCTGTAGAGTAAAAGACACAGTAAGGTGTCAAGTGAGCACTATATATAAACCCACAGTGTAGCAATAGAACATAAGTCTGAAGGAAGAATGAAAGACTATTTCCCACATTTTCTCATTCGAACCAGTGAAAGCTGCCATGTGTGAACCAATGCAAGTTGAACCATGTGTGATACAGCCAGAGTTGACAGCCACGCTGGTGACCCCGTCCTGTAGTCACGACAGGCTGCAGTCTACCGTACTTGTAGCATAGCCCAATAGAGTATGTTAGCCTTTGTACCATATCTATACTACAAATGAGAACAGCTCTTCTGGGATAGCCAACTTTATGGTAGTCCAACCTGAATTGACCCTATTTGTATCCACGTGCACCTTAAGTGAGCAAATTATCTTGCGTGTACACTTTAGCCAAGAAATAACCACATTTTCACTTTGTATCAGGTACACAAGTGAAGTGGGTGGCAGACAGTAACCTAAAATGCCATCTGGTGGTGGCTTGGTGAGCTAAGGCAATGGTTGTTTATCCAATGGCAATTATTGTTAGATTTCATTAATTTTATTTTAAAAGCAGTACAGTGTTTTGCTTTGTTTCATGTATGCTTTTTTTTGGGGGGTTGATTGATTTCTGATATCTATGTTTCTCTCACTTTTATAAGTGAATTAATATTTTGGTTTGTAGTAGGCTGCATAAGTCTCAATGACAAGCTTTATAGAATTAGGAGGGGCTGTGGTACTCGGTGCCTAATCTCCTGTGAAATACTGGAGGAGTCAGCCCAGAAAATATTAACCATTTGGCAGAGAAATAAAAAAAAATTAAGATTTAACAATTTATCCGTTATGGTTACTTTACACAAATGAAGGTATTTTATTAGTAGCCTATATGAGCTGCTGAACTATCTATTGATGGAGCGAGTAACGCACAGCATCGCTCCTGTGCCAGGTAAGTCCACTACGGCTCACACCATAGCCCGTGCTACTTGCCCCGCTCCTGTGCCAGGTAAGTTACGGGCTCACCATAGCCCGTGCTACATAGAACTTTGTTCCGAGTAGCTGAATCTATAACAACAACAACATCTAATGATGGGAGATGTTGGACTATCCCTTACTAACCTAGGAACCGTAAACAATTCCATCATACATTAAAACTCTTTCAGAGCAGCCCTTGCAGGTATGACTTTTCACAGATATAATGCACGAGAGCATACCATGTCAAACAAAATTCTACGTAACATTTCACTGTGACTCACCCAAACACTGGAAAATTGTTCACAGATCGGCGAATACCATAACAAATTTTCATCAGACTCGGAACCATCCACACGAACAAGAGGTACTTCTGTCCGTGGCACAGGTTGTGAGAAAACACAAATAAGTTGGCCAGTATCACCTTTATTTCGTACGTAACCAACCTGTAGCATTCTGAAAAATAAATACATTTTAGTGCATGTCTTATTTCTTTGTATTCTCATATCTTGAAGCTCACATTTAAACAATACGGGACAGTCTAGTCTCAAAATCTAAAATGCTTGGGACATGGGCATTTTGGAGAACCAGAATGCCCTCCTTGTTGCTAGCTGCACTGAGATAGCTCCACACTTAGGTGAGAGTTCAAGTTACTTAGGTTACTATTTGAGTACACTATTTTCATATGAACCCTTGCCAGTCATTAAAAGCCTACCAGAAACCAGAGGCCAAAACCTAGCTCCCCCCTCCTCAAAGAGTGCAGAAAGCAGGTAATATATGATCACCCTTCAACACGAAATCAAGCCCTCGGGGTGTGAAGCAAAATAAACTACAGTCAAGTAAGTAGTAATTTTGTAAAATTTTGTAAAACATTGTAATTTTGTAAAATTTTGTAAAACAAAACACAGCAAACTATTCACTCGTAGTTAGGTCACACCTCACCAAGTTATTACTGTCTACCACCAGGTCGTAGCACCACTGGAGTTGCTGGCTCCCATGTCAATAAACCCAGTCACTCACATTTTGTCAGGTACTGCAGACTGCTCCACTGAGTTTCAACTTCATTGAGTCCCAGATTTTTTCCTGGATAAGTGTTGGCCTTCCTTTTGACTTTGTCCTGTGTGGGGGTCCATTTGCTTATTTAACATTCCAAGGTTTAGTATTTGGATCACATGGGTTTGTTTACAATCCTAACTTGTTGTGTGGACTTTGGCTACAGTTCATCTTGAGCTGCAAGTGTTTAGGGCTGCTCTTCCCTAAATGCACGCTGATGTTGCCCCTTCACTGACAGTTATGTACTTTCCTGGCATGTTCAGAAGTTTATCCCCAAGAGGGTATCATCCCAAGGAGGTCGTCTCGTCCTGAGGCATCATTCGTGGTGTCCGGTTGTGGATGCCTGTTGTATCTGCGCTATGCCAGGGCTGCTTTGGGTGCCATGTCATTTGTTGATCCAGGCCATTCTCCTCTACGGGTTAAATCTTCAGACCTCCTCCACCCCTGGTGGGTCACATTTTATCTTTCTCTGTGGTTTGTTAGCTATCACCTTTTGGCCCTCTAGAAACCCAGAGTTGGTTGTAATGAGTAAGTAAGTAATTATCAAAAGAAGGCACCAAACCGGGAAGGCTATGTAGCACCATCAAATACGCAAAATAATCAGAGGGCGCTAAATATCACCAAGGATGCCAATACGAGAACAAAAACGCATAAGGCGAACGATATCAAAAGTATCCGAGTCACCAAGAATTCTATCGAGGGACAGGTGACCGCGAGGGGCGGTCGGAAAGCAAGACACACGCTCGTCCTGGAAGTCAGGACATTCAAGAAGGACATGCACGACCGTAAGAGGGACAATGCAACTAGGACAATAAGGAGCAGGGCGGCGCTCCATCAAGTGACCATGGGTTAAGCGAGTATGGCCAATACGCAACCTCGCCAGAGCTGTTTCCCACCGCCGGTTACGGTGGAAGGAGGACGGCCACGAGGAAACACAACATTTAAGAGTACGTAGCTTGTTACCAGTAACAGACAACCAAGAAGCCTGCCAACGGGTAAGGACTGAGGAATGGATAACCGGGTAAAAGTCGGAATACGGAATGCCTTTACGAGAGATGGGACAAGAGCGGACAGCTTCCTTAGCGGCAGCATCCGCACGCTCATTTAAAGACACGCCAATATGGCTGGGAACCCAACAAAACTCAACCGACTTAAATTTACTGTGAACGAGAAACAGCCAATGCTGGATCTCGACAACTACCGGATGAACTGGATTAAAGCACCCGAGAGCCATGAGGGCACTACGAGAGTCAACAACAACCACAAAGGAAGACTGACAACGAGAAAGTAGGAGACGAAGAGCATAGAGAATAGCATAAAGTTCCGCTGTAAAGATGCTAGTCTCCGGAGGCAAGCGACACATATAAGTGCGATCAGGAAAAACAACAGAGTAGCCAACACCGTCCGCTGACTTAGACCCATCGGTGAAGACAGAAACGGAGCGGGAGTGAGAAGAAAAGTGCTCGAGGAAAAGGCGTTTTAGAACTGTAGGAGGGGTAAAAGCTTTAGTGATACGAGTCAAGGATGTACAAAACCGCGGAAGAGGGACCCTCCACGGGGGCAAAGAAGGAACAACACGAGGAGAAACATCAGAAATACGAACGGAAAGAGAATCCTGTAGGCGAGATAACCGGACAGAAAGAGGGAGGTGGTGAAGAGGAACAGGAACCGCAGGAGGGGTAAAAGTTAAAGCACGACAGAGGCGAGAGGAAGGATGTTGCAAGGACCGCGCAAGATAGCGAAGACAGTAGCGATCACGGCGGTCCTGGAGAGACAGGAAGCCAGTGTCAACATACAAGCTAAGGACGGGAGTCGAACGAAAGGCACCAGAACTGAGGCGCAACCCAGTATGGTGCAAAGCATCAAGACGGCGAAGAGTAGAAGGAGAAGCAGACGAGTAAGCAGGGCAACCATAATCGAGCTTAGACAGGACGAGAGAGGAATGTAAAGCAAGGAGAGTGCGCCTATCTGCCCCCCAAGAAGTATGGGACAAGACCCGAAGGAGGGTAAGGGACTTAGAGCACTCAACACGGAGGTAAGAGATATGGGGAGACCAAGACAAACGAGTGTCAAGGAATAACCCCAAAAGCTTCGCGGAATCTTTGTATTCAAGGGGATGACCATAAAGTGACAAAGAGGGACGAAGAACAACCCGTTTCCGCGTAAAAGTCATGGCACAAGTCTTAGAAGTAGAGAACTTGAAGCCATGACCTGTGGCCCAAGACGACACGGCATCAACCGCAAGTTGAAGCCGGCGTTGAAGGAGAGGCGAATCATCACCCTGACAACAAAGGGTAAGATCATCGACATAGAGAGCGGAGAAGACACCAGAAGGAAGAGAGGAAAGAAGACCATTGAGGGCAACCAGAAAAAAGAGTAGTGCTCAGAACACTACCCTGGGGCACACCTTCGTATTGCTGAAAAGAGGGAGAGAGAGCGGTACCAAGGCGCACCCGAAAGGAACGACGAGAGAGGAAGCTGCGGAGAAAGAGAGGGAGATGACCACGAAGGCCAAAAGAATGAAGTTGAGATAGGATATGATAACGCCAAGTGGTGTCGTAAGCCTTTTCTAGGTCAAAAAGGACGGCAACAACGGAGGTCTTCGCAGCAAAAGCAGTACGAATATAGACCTCCAAGTTCACCAGGACATCTGTCGTGCTGCGGCACTTGCGGAAACCAAATTGAGAAGGGGAGAGGAGGTGATGGTGTTCCAGGAACCACATCAGACGAACGTTAACCATACGTTCAAAGAGTTTGCAGACACAACTTGTGAGAGCAATAGGGCGAAAGTCCTTAGGGGAAGTACCCAGAGACCCCGGTTTGCGAACAGGGAGGACAACGGCATCGAGCCAGTCCTCAGGGACTGACGACGACTCCCAGATCCGATTATACAGACTCAGTAAATACTGAGACATGCTCAGAGGGAGATGGCGAAGCATCTCATAATGAATACCATCGGAGCCCGCCGCCGTAGAACCGCAGAGGGCCAGGGCAGAACGAAGTTCAGAGAGAGAGAAGGGATCATTATAGGGAAGCTGAAGATGAGTGCAGAAATCTAAAGGACGAGACTCAAGGACAGGTTTACGAAGAAGGAAAGATTGGGGAAGATGAAGACCAGAGCTAACAGAAGAAAAGTGGGAACCCAGTTCGGAAGCGACCTGCAACGGGTCCGCCACAAGAGTATCATGGAGGTGAAGGACCGGTGAAACATCGGGAACGAACTTACCCGCTATCTTGCGGATACGCTTCCAGATCTGGGCCAGAGGGGTTTCGGACGTAATTGTCGAGACATAAGATGCCCAACATGCACGTTTAGCCGTACGGATGGCCCTACGGGCCACCGCACTCGCTTTCCGAAAGAAAAGAAAAGAATCGGTCGTCTGCCTACGGCGGTGCTTCTTCCAGGCTGCACGCTTACAGCGGACAGCCCGAGCACAGTCCGCATTCCACCAGGGAACGCACTTCCGTGGACCCCAAGAGGAAGAGCGAGGAATAGAGCGGAGGGCAGCGTCGAAGACAGTGTCATGAAAAAGGAGGAGAGCGCGAGAGAGGGGCAGAAGGGAGAGGTCAGAGAGAGTAGCACTGAGGGAAAATAGGGTCCAGTCCGCCTTAGCAAACTGCCACCTAGGGAAAGAGAGGGAAGGGCGAAAAGAGAAAAAGGAAACAAGGATGGGGAAATGATCACTTCCATGGAGGTCATCAAGAACCTGCCACGTGAAATCTAAGTAAAGAGAAGAAGAGCAGAGAGAAAGATCAAGACAAGAAAGGGTGCGAGTTCGAGAGTCCAAATGAGTGGGCTCACCAGAATTCAGAAGAGACAGGGAAGAAGAGAGGAGAAACGGCTCAAGGAGGCGACCCCGGGTATTCGTCAGAACGTCACCCCAAAGAGAATGACGACAATTGAAGTCACCCAGCAGGAGCACAGGCTCCGGCAAGGAGTCTAGGAGGTGTTTCAAATCAGGAAGAGAGAGCGGGACACTCGGGGGGAGATAAATGGAACAAACTGTGTACCATTTCCCCACAAAGATACGAGCAGCAGAACAATGGAGAGGCGAAGGAAAAAGTAAAGGAACAAAGGGAACATCAGCCCAAATCAAGAGAGCAGAAGAATTAGAAGCCCCAGCAATGGCTGGGGGGGGGGAGAGAAAGGAATAGCCACGAAAACGACCAGGACGAGCACCAAGCATCGGCTCCTGGAGACAGACACAAAGGGGCGAAAACCGCGAAACCAGAAGTTGGAGTTCGAGGAAATTGGCGTAATAACCTCGAACGTTCCATTAAAGAATGGACAACGACGAGAAGAGAAAGGACAAAAACAGAGAACAAGGAAGAAACAAAGGCGAAAGACCAACAGAGCACGTTAAAGAATATCAGGGTCGGGATCAGGGTCAGCAAAGTCAGGGTTAGGGGGCATGGGTAAACTGAGCAAAGACGGAGGGAAGGAAACGGGAGAACAGATCAGAGGTGGGCGGGCAGGGTCCGGAGGAGGAGGAGGAGGAGGAGGAGGAGGAGACAACGGAGAGGAGCAGTCAAGGACAGCAGCAGGAAGAGGGGGAGTAGAAAGAGAGGAGCGCACCCCAGCAAGAGCAGCAACCGAAACGGAAGCAGGGGCCAAAGAAACCTCCATAGCAGGAACAGGGGGCGCAAGCACTGAAACGGGAGGGGAAGGAGCAACAGAGCCAGAAGGAGGAGCTGAGGAAGAAAGCGAAGCCTTCTTACCCGCTGGGGAAGAGGAAGGAGAGGAGCCAGGCTTACGCTTCTGACTTAAAGAGACCGGTGTCCCAGCAACTACGTACCGGGCAACGGATTCTAGTGTCTCAACAGGAGAAGCCGAACGAGAGCACACACGACGGCCGTTAGGAGAGCGATGGACATCCGCCCGCACCGACAGGCGGCGGGGAGAGCCGATAGATGGAGGAAGAGGATGGGAAGGAGGATCGGAGGGGGACGAGGAAGAAGACACAGAAGACACGACAGACCGGGTAGAAGGAAGGGGAACCCCAGACAGAGGACCAGGAGGAGGATCCTTCGGGAGAGAACCCAAAGGGACAGAGGAGGGGGCAGTGGGCGCATCAGGGTCCAAGGCCTGGAAACGGTTGTGAGTCTGAGGAAGGCGGGAAGGACGAGGAGAGGAAGAGCGCAACACGCGAGCATAAGAGATATTAGCATAAGGCGGGAGCCGGCGAACCTGGCGCCTCGCCTCAGGAAAAAATAAACGCTCCCGGTGCTTCAAGTTGAGGACGGCTGCCTCAAGCTTGTAATGGACACACGCACGGGAGAAGGTAGGATGGGCCTCACCGCAGTTGAGGCAACGAGCCTGGGGAGAAGCGCACTCCGACTTAGAGTGACCTTCGCCACCACACAAAGGACAGAGAGAGACAGTCCCGGAGCAGCGGAGGGCACCATGCCCAAACCTCCAGCACTTGTTGCAGAGCCGAGGAGAAGGAATGTACTCCTGGACAGAGCACCTGGCACCAGCAAGAATGACAGAGGGTGGAAGGGTCCTACCATCAAAGGTTATCTTCACAACCCGGAGGGGTTGACGGCGACTACCACGAGGGGGACGAGTAAACGTGTCCACCTGGAGAATAGAATGGCCCTGGGCAGCGAGGATATGTCGAATATCGTCGTGGCAGTCGCGTAGGTCCCGAACACCGGTCGCAACATGGGGCGGGAGCAAAATAGTGCCAACACTGGCATTCAACTGAACGTTCTTCGAGACCCGAACGGGGGTCTCGCCAAGGCAGGATAAGGCAGCCAAGCGGGAAGCAGCATCCTGAGAAGGAGCAGCAACGACACGTGTACCGAGACGAGTGGGGTTGAAAGTAATGGAGGCATCCACGGAATCAATGAGATGTCGATGGAGGGAGAAATCGTCAGGAGGCGCAGAATCAAGAGGGAGGAGATCAAAATATTTGGCCCACGAAGCGGGACCAAACAAGGCTTGATAGGTAGCAGAACTGGAAGGAATCGAGCGAGGGCGGCCGTGACGAAGACGGCGGTGAGAACCCCCAGAGAGAGAGGGGTTAAAAGGCGCAGTAGTTACAACTAGAGAAGGAGCCACGCCAGGGGACGAGGTAGTCACCACTGGGGGCTTGGGGCTCGACCCAACCACAGAGGAGGGAGGGGAGCCAGAGGAAGGAGTCAGAGAGGCCAAAGGAGGAGCAAGGTCGGGGCCCAATGCAGCGGAGGCTACAGAGCCCGGTCTTCCAATACGGACCGACTCGGGGGCTTGGTCGCCCACCCCACGAGCCTGAGAAGGTAAACCAGAAGAAGCCGAAGCAGGGGTAATCATCTTGACGAAAGAAAGAATTCACTCACGAATGTGCCCCCACACCCACCATGGAGCCACAATTAGAGGCAGGACACCCAACAAGAAGCTATCGCCGATCTTGTCGGGGCCTCCTAGGGGTGCGTCGCGAGTATACGCCCCACAAACGCCACCTTAAGAAACCGACAGTCCGTCGAGATCGGGTTCAGTGACGAAGTGGGGATTGACAATAAAAGGTTCCCCTCGCTCTCGACGTCGGGTACTGCAGTTCTACGGGTGCATGAGTATGCCTCCTCAAGCACCCGGGCGTCAAAATAGAAGAAGTCCAAGGGAAGAACCAGAACGAGCAAAAGGTCGGTAGGAAACGGCAAGCAGATAGGAGAAGAGGGGGGAGAAAAACGAAACAGAAGGAAAAGGAAAAGATGCCCAGCAGAATTGGAGAGGACGGCAGCAGGAGCACAAGGCTAGAAAAGGACAGAGGACTGTCCCAAGGAGCATCACACTCCGGCAGCCGCCCACTAAGCCCCCACACGGCGACAACGAGCTGAGCGGGGAGGGGGTTGGTTGTAATGAAATGTCCCTTTTTGGAGGGAAAGGGCCTTGGTGGCTCCCTGGACCCTGCCTGGTGCATCAGCGGGCATTTGTTTGACTCTTGACTAAGGGTTTGTTGACATGGGAGCCAGCATTCTAGTGGTAACCAGGGGATGTGTGACCTAATTACTAAGTGGATTGTTTGCTATGTTATTTCACTTTGTTTACTCACTCTTGACCATGCTGCTATTTTGCTTTGCTTCTTTCTGGGGGCATGATATCTTTCTGAGGATGATCATGTATCACTGGAGAACCATGCAAGAATGATCATTTTTTTTTTTAACAAGTCTGGCTGAACTGGTCTGAACATCACAACCTCCAATACTGTCATGATGTTGGTAGACTTACTATTATGTACAAGCCCAATATTCTCAATTTTCGACACCTGACCCATCTATGTGGGCAACAGTAGTTGAAACACACAACACAAGGCACTCTGCCATCAACAACCTCATACTGAAAATGCCTTTCTCAAGAACTTTACTTCAACAACCATTCATTCCGAGACTGACTCATCTGGAACTTGTTCACTCAACAGACTGATAAGTGGGATATCAAGTCAAATGATCACATGAAAGCTGTGGCACACAGCTTGCTTCTGGCTCACCATTTTCTTATACGATTGTTAATTATCATTAAAGCTAGTTTATAAGCAATGGATTCAAATAATAATCTCATGAAATAAATGAGTCTCTGGGGGGAGGGAGGGCAGATTCCAGATGAGCTGATGTAGGATAACAGCTCGTATTTACAGTTTTGCTAGGAACCTCAATGAACCCTAGTCTTAGTTTAAAAAATTAAGGGATGGAGTAAAAAAAAAAAATATTTTCTTCAAAACCTCACCTTGGGGTTTTTTCTTGCCTGTTGACAAGCCACTGCAAGAAAAACCAAGGACTTTGGTCCGAGGGATCAGTGAATACAGCTTCAACTACCGTTTTCAGTTCCTGAGGAAACAGATTTAAGTATAGTTAATAAATAGGCCATGCTAAAGTTGAGAAAACTTTCATAAATAAATAAAATTAAATAATATACACATACATATTGTGCATTCATTATTGTTACCCCTTTTATAGAGTGGTAAAACTGGGTAGCAGTGAGTGCTCTGAGGCTCCATCAAAGGACCTCTACTGTTAACTACATACATCAAAATACATCAAACTTCACAGAATGGTTGACTCTTCACCTCACAGATAAACCCTGTTAGCCAAGTTGTCACCTCTCCATATGGGTTTTTACATTTTATGATGAAACAAAAGTGAATCAGTATCCCATAGTGAGCCATCTATCCTTATCACAAACACAATTTTGTATACATTGCAAATAAGTCAAACTTTTTATAACTAATTATATTCTTAACTAAATAATATAAACCCTAACAGCTATTTAAGGTGAAAAGGACTAAAGTATGACTCATTAGGGCAGAATAATGGCATGCAGGCAAATTCACCATAATACAAGCTTGTACAGTATACAAATCATAACACTGGATTCATGATAGACAAATTTAGTTTTGATACAGGAAAGCATTGGTTTGCCAATAGAGGTATAGGTAAGTGGTGCAAGCAATCGAGGCCTAACCCAGGCCTAACAAGAACTCTCAGCCCGGATTTAGATAAGACTTGGATTGAAAACAACACTACAAAATGCCAACACATTCTGTGTCTAGTAGGTATACTTCATTTTGACTAGACACCTGTTTATTTGATATACAGTAATGTAATATATTTAACACACGCAGTACTTTAATAATGTAGAGTATTTTTCTGTATATGGTACACCCTGGTAATGTATCAAGCTGTGTATATAATGCTATTAAAATCAAACTATTCCAAAAGATCTTAAATCAAAAGAAAGCAGGTGATGGTAGTGTTTTCATCCTGGGGCCTGACAGCCGAGTGGACAGCGTTTGGAATTCGTAATCCCAAGGTTCCAGGTTCGATTCCCGGTGGAGGCAGAAACAAATGGGAAGTTTCTTTCACCCTGATGCACCTGTTCACCTAGCAGTAAATAGGCACCTGGTAGTTAGACACCTTCTACGGGCTGCTTCCTGGGGGTGTGCAACAAAAAGAAGGCCTGGATGAAGACCAGGTCGCGGGGACGCTAAGCCCCGAAATTATCTCAAGATGACCTCAAGAAGATAGATCCACCAAGTTGAGAGGTGGCATCTCTAAATACTGATACTAGTATAATCATGGGCCAGTCTGTCATGCGTGTGCCCGAGGAGTCCAGGGATGCGGGTTAAATCCCATCACATGGCCTCAATATTTTCTCTGATATATCACATCCTTCTGACGTCATTGTGCATGATTAATATTCTAATAATATTAAATATACTGTATTACAGTGCTTACAAATTTAGAAGATGAAACAAAAATGTCAAAGTTAAAAATGTTACCTTGATAAGTGCATTTTCTGATATTGGATGAGGAGTGTTTGGTGGAGGAGGGTAAACCTGTGGCAGAAGCTTGGAACGATAATGCCAGGCAGAATAATTGCTCAAGTTGTGCTCTATCAAGTGTTGGGAAACCTTCAGCTCATCTTCTGGTTGTTGATCACTTCCTGCTACCACAAATCGACGGTAATCCCAGCAATGAACTGAAATATATAATGCAGATGTTCATGGTCTGTTTTCACCATTTCTTCACCAAAATAATCTGCATCTAGATTGACGCAGATGATAATACCTGATGATTGTTTACATGAACTATACGTTATTTATTTCAAGATACAGAATATTTCATAGTGTTCCTACCAAGAGCGTACACAATTAGGCAGCTGCCGCATGCCTCTCCTCAATTCACAAACTCTGTATAAATGATAAAGTAATGCTTACAATTTCTTTCATCTGCTTTGAGATACTTGTCACAAAGTGCTATTTCAGCAGCCCATGGCGGCGAGGGAAAGTTTTCCATCACCCAGCAGCGGTGGTGCCATGCCCCATAACTTTTGTGGTTTTTCATTAAGCAATTTTCTACCAATGTCATTTCCCCTTTAAGAAGTTTCTCCCATAGTTCTTGGTCATCTCTGAAAACATTGCCATCATTATATTTAATGTTTAATTGTTTATTAAAGAGAACATACAGTAAAGCAGGCTCCAAGTTTTGAATGGGGATGCATTCATTGAGAGCACATGAATAACCCAATGTTATTTGGTCAATGATCTTTTGGAGAAAAAATAGATTGCATTTCAAATTAAGGGATTTTGTATTAAAAAAACACATATATACTGTGCATACAGTTCTGCAAAATTTAGTCTTACTGATAATACTGTAAAAAAAAAACATTTACAGTTTTACACAAGTGCTGTATGTCTAATTTAAGACTTAACTTTTGTTTAACCAACAAAAACAGAAGCAAATACCCAAACTGAATTTTGGGCAGTCAGACAAACATAATATTCTCAATTCCTATGGCAAGCATATCTTACATTACAAATTTTATTTTGATCATTATTTAAAATCAAAATACCCATCCCCCCCTGTCACAAATCCAAGGAAGAAACATACCCTGAGCCAAAGAAGAGTATTATAGGAGACAAAAAAAAAAAAGTGTGACTATTTGGGACAAACTATGTACATAATTTTTAAACATTTTCCAACAAAAATTAAAATAATGATTTTTTATCACGTACAATATAATTTTTATGTAATGCAATGCTTAGTGAACAAGCTCATGTTGCCAAGGTTAAAATCAAAGAAATAAATCTAACAAAAACATCTAGTTCCAATGATCTTTAAAATGGTTCTCAAATCTTTTACCTAGGAAATACATGACTTAATAGTAATAATGATCCTACTTACACAACCATATGCAGGTCTTAGACGTTTTAAGCAAAAACGTGCATAAGCTTTCTTCAATATCACTCGGTTACAAAAAATTGAAAATAAAAAAAATCCCTTTGGGGAATTTCTATTAAATGAAATGAATTTTTTTATTCAGGAAAAGTACATACTGTACATAGATGAAGACTTACAAACAATGTTGGATTTATAGATAGAGCTAGTACATACAATACCTAAAGCCACAAATACACATAGCGTTTCATGCAAGCCATTAATAATAATAGTTACGGCACTAACCCCTTCATGGCCAAGAGAATCTCCCTTCGAAAGTTCCAAAGGGTTGCAGCATCTGGGTTGGCTGCTACAAGTTGAGCAGTTATCTTTAGTCCTTCTTCATCATGTATTCCAGATTTTCTCTGAAATATATAATTACCATGATCACCCAAAGCTGATATAATTATCTATTTAATTAAATTCATGATAGTATATACAATATAGTACTGTATACAGTATGGTATGCAGTATATACCAAATAGTATACAGTATACAAGCATATTTAGGCCCTCTGTAATTGACAGCTTTGGACAAATGAATTTGGCCTATAAAGTATAGCATTTTTGCTTTATTATACCATCAGTACATAAGTCATAAAAATATTACTGTATCTTGAACATAAGTCTAGTGATAATGTTGGAATCAAAGATGGCATTTCAAGGCAAAACTTCCTGAAATTTCCTTCTATACAAAAAGATTGAACTGTACCTTTGCAAAAGCTTTTGTAAGACCTGCAAGATATAATTTCTTCTTTTCTGCTCGCTCTTTCTGTTTCTCTGCTGCTTGTTCAGCTGTTGTCTTTATTTTCAGCCGTCCGTGCTATAAAGAAAAAGATAAACAAAAATGTGAACATTTAATTTATAATGGATATTATAATTTACTTTTATGAAGAAGGAAAACACTGTGTAGAACAATTAATACTGTGCAATTTAATCTTTTCACTACAGTTCTGTACCTCAGTTTTGTCCTTTGCCATCTTGGGTTAAAACAGGACTACACACAACAAAAATTATTGAATTTCTAGTGAGAAAAACTGCAGAAAAAATAATACTACAGTACATACTATATGGTAAAAGAATGTACAACACTTAAGATAAATGTTGATATAAAACTGAAAAAGGTAACACGTTTAGTCAATAAACCCCTAACAATGCACGATATAGCATCACAGATAAATATGCACCACCACACACCCACCACTTCATAAGAATAAGTGTATGGTACTGCTGCTCATGAATTGTTATATGCATTACATACAAATACCAGTACATTACATTATCACCATTTTTACAAACTGCTGCTGATGTTTATCCAATCCTAGAATTGGATCATTCTTAGCATCCCTTACCATAGTCAATGGGCTGTCCAAACTTGCTCCCTACATCTTGAGGTTATGTTGAGATGATTTCGGGGCTTTAGTGTCCCCGCGGCCCGGTCCTCGACCAGACCTCGACCCCCAGGAAGCAGCCCGTGACAGCTGACTAACACCCAGGTACCTATTTACTGCTAGGTAACAGGGGCATAGGGTGAAAGAAACTTGGCCCATTTGTTTCTGCCTCGTGCAGGAATCGAACCCGCGCCGCAGAATTACGAGTCCGCGCTATCCACCAGGCTACGAGGCCCCCCTACATCCTCACAATGTGCACCCACCTTCTTCCCAAGGGAAGCTAACTATCAAGAGAAAGTGCCAAGCCATTGCAACAATATAGCACTGGGAAGGGCTTAGGATAAGGATTTGGGATGGGACAGGGGAAAAGAATGGTGCCCAACCACTTGTGGATGGCGATGTGCATGAAGCGAGACCGTCCCTTCACCGTCCAGCCCAAGTGGTTGGACACCTTCTTCCCAAACTTTCCCTTCCATCCAAAACAATTTACTGGAATACTCATTTATCAATCATCATCAATTTGTTTCAACATGCCCAAACCATTTCAGTCTGGGTGCCCTCAACTGTGTGCTGTCTTGACTTTACGTGTCACACACGTCTATGACAATCATTCCATAGTCTACCTCTTCTTTTAACACGTCACAACAAGCTTCATAAATTGGCCATTTATACAGCTAAAACTTAAACATATATAAACTATTTAATTCTATTCATAAAGTGATTAATTATTTACATGAAATTACCCACTGGCCACCATTTCTAGTGGCCTCAACAGGGACAGAAAGCTGGCAACTTGTCAAAGGTTCCCTCAATACTGTCAGCCACCCTGGTCTGCCTGTGTCAGCCCCCCTGGTCTGCCTGTGTCAGCCCCCCTGGTCTGCCTGTGTCAGCCCCCCTGGTCTGCCTGTGTCAGCCCCCCTGGTCTGCCTGTGTCAGCCCCCCTGGTCTGCCTGTGTCAGCCCCCCTGGTCTGCCTGTGTCAGCCCCCCTGGCCAGTCCGTGTCAGCCCCCCTGGCCTGCCCGTGTCAGCCCCCCTGGCCTGCCCGTGTCAGCCCCCCTGGCCTGCCCGTGTCAGCCCCCCTGGCCTGCCCGTGCCAGCCCCCCTGGCCTGCCCGTGTCAGCCCCCCTGGCCTGCCCGTGTCAGCCCCCCTGGCCTGCCCGTGTCAGCCCCCCCTGGCCTGCCCGTGCCAGCCCCCCTGGCCTGCCCGTGCCAGCCCCCCTGGCCTGCACGTGTCAGCCCCCCTGGCCTGCCCGTGTCAGCCCCCCCTGGCCTGCCCGTGTCAGCCCCCCTGGCCTGACCCGTGTCAGCCCCCCTGGCCTGCCCGTGTCAGCCCCCCTGGCCTGCCCGTGTCAGCCCCCCCTGGCCTGCCCGTGTCAGCCCCCCCTGGCCTGCCCGTGCCAGCCCCCCTGGCCTGCCCGTGCCAGCCCCCCTGGCCTGCCCGTGTCAGCCCCCCCTGGCCTGCCCGTGTCAGCCCCCCCTGGCCTGCCTGTGTCAGCCCCCCTGGCCAGTCCGTGTCAGCCCCCCCTGGCCTGCCTGTGTCAGCCCCCCTGGCCAGTCCGTGTCAGCCCCCCTGGCCTGCCCGTGTCAGCCCCCACTGGCCCCCCATGCCAGCCCCCCTGGCCCCCCGTGTCAGAACAACGCCCGGGTCATGAACGGCCCATAACACTGCGTCATACGTGGCATAACAAAAAAACCTTTCAATATATGACCACGTACATACGCTTCATAACACAAGCAGCTTCTTCCATACATAGGCAAGACTTTAACAGGCGTGAGAGTTACCATTGTGCTAAAAGAGAGGCAGGTGGAGGCAGGAGAGGCAGAAGGGCGTGCACACACCTCCGCGGCTCACACAACACGAGATTGCCAGATCCAAATTACTGAAAGTATTTAATTATTAATTTATTTACTTACATATTTATATGCAAGAAGGTAAATTGGGGGTTAATAGAGGACACAGAAATTAAGTTGATTTTACATTCTTGTCAAGCCACTAGCACGCATAGCGTTTCGGGAAAGTAGCGAACTGACGGTCTAAATGTAGCGAATTTGTAATAAGAGTAGACCAATTTTTTGTTTAGTGACTGGTACGGGTTTCAAAGTAATATATTTTGATATATAGAGTACACTACATGATGTTAATTGTTTTATTAATATTATTTCTGCACGCACGCACACACCCAATATATATATATATATATATATATATATATATATATATATATATATATATATATATATATATATATATATATATATTAGTTTATATCAACCATACACAACCCAAAGCCTAAGTGACACCCTTGGAGCCCGACCAGTTGTGTAACCGGAGCCCAACCAGTTGTGTAACAGGAGCCCGACCAGTTGTGTAACCGGAGCATGATCAGTTATTTAACTAGAGACCAACCAGTTGTGTAACCAGACCCCGACCAGTTTTGTAACCGCAAGCCTAGCAAGTCATCTCATCCAATCCCCACCAAGCTAAACAAACAGCCCCAGAGCCCAATCAATCTATTCCTAGCTGGACCAAACAAAAATCTCCTTAGCCCTACCTAAAACCCTCCACTTGCCCTAGAAACTAACTATGGAGCTATTGCAAACAAAGACTTGACAAAAAGTACAAAAAAAGGTACCCAGATTTCCACCAAATATATAATTATAGAGCCCTAGCAAACAAACCTGGAGCACTAGTACACAAACAACCCCTGGAGCACAACTATGTACAAACCGAAGCCTGATCATGCACAACCCGAAGTCCAAGTGACATCCCCGGAGCCCGACTAGTTGTGTAACCGAAGCCCGACCAGTTGTGTAACCGGAGCCCGACCAGTTGTGAAACCGGAGCCCGACCAGTTGTGAAACTGCAAGCCTAGCAAGCAAAAATCTCATCCAACTCTTACCAAGCCAAATAAACAGCTCCTAGAGCCCAACCAAACTCCCTCCCTAGCTCTACCAAATGAACCCTTCCTAGCTTAGCCCTACCTAACAACTGACCCCCCCCCCCCCTTGCCTTAACAACTAACTTCGGAGTCAAAGCAAAGAAACAACTGAGCCCTATATAAAAAATGAATCCTGTAACTCTTGTAAAAATATAACAATTAAACCGTAGAAAACAAAGATGCACTCAGCCATAGCAAAGAAACAACCATGATGATCTAGCAAAGAAACACGAGGCACCAGCACACAATCCCTGACGCACAACCATGCACGAACCAAAGCCGATCATGCACAACCCGAAGCTCAAGTGACACCCCCGGAGCCCGACCAGTTAAGTAACCGGAGCCCGACCAGTTATGTAACCGGAGCCCGACCAGTTATTTAACCGGAGCCCGACCAGTTGTGTAACCGGAGCTCGACCAGTTGTGTAACCGGAGCCTGATCAGTTGTGTAACCGCAAGCCTAGCAAGTATACATTTCCATCCAACTCCCACCAAGCTAAACAAATAACCCCAGAGCTCAACCAAACTACATTCCTAGCTCAACCAAACAAACACTTCCACAAACCGCAAGCCTAGCATGAACGAACCAAACAAACAATTCAAAACAAACATGAAAGAAACAACATCTGGATCACAACCATATATGAACCGAAGCCTGATCATGCACAACCTGAAGCCCAAGTGACACCCCCGGAGCCCGACCAGTTATTTAACCGGAGCCCGACCAGTTGTGTAACCGGAACCCGACCAGTTGTGTAACCGGACCCCGACCAGTTGTGTAACCGCAAGCCTAGCAGGTATACACCTCATCCAACCCCCACCAAGCTAAACAAACAGTCCCAGAGCCCAATCAAACTTCATTCCTAACTCGACCAAACAAAAATCTTCTTAACCCTACCTAAAAACCCTCCACTTACCTAGAAACCAACTATGGCGCCATAGCAAACAAAAACTTGAGCAATGTACATAAAAGGAAACCCAGATTTCTAGCACACATGACCTCAGAGCCCTAGCAAACAAACCTGAAGCACTAGTACACAAACAACCTCTGGAGCACAACCATGCACGAACCGAAGCCCGATCATGCACAACCCGAAGCCCGAGTGACACCCCCGGAGCCCGACCAGTTATGTAACCGGAGCCCAACCAGTTGTGTAACCAGAGCCCAGCCAGTTGTGTAACCGGAGCCTGATCAGTTGTTTAACCGCAAGCCTAGCAAGTATACATTTCCATCCAACTCCCACCAAGCTAAACAAATAACCCCAGAGCTCAACCAAACTACATTCCTAGCTCGACCAAACAAACACTTCCACAAACCGCAAGCCTAGCATGAACGAACCAAACAAACAATTCAAAACAAACATGAAAGAAACAACATCTGGATCACAACCATATATGACCCGAAGCCTGATCATGCACAACCTGAAGCCCAAGTGACACCCCCGGAGCCCGACCAGTTATTTAACCGGAGCCCGACCAGTTGTGTAACCGGAACCCGACCAGTTGTGTAACCGGACCCCGACCAGTTGTGTAACCGCAAGCCTAGCAGGTATACACCTCATCCAACCCCCACCAAGCTAAACAAACAGTCCCAGAGCCCAATCAAACTTCATTCCTAACTCGACCAAACAAAAATCTCCTTAACCCTACCTAAAAACCCTCCACTTACCTAGAAACCAACTATGGCGCCATAGCAAACAAAAACTTGAGCAATGTACATAAATGGAAACCCAGATTTCTAGCACACATGACCTCAGAGCCCTAGCAAACAAACCTGAAGCACTAGTACACAAACAACCTCTGGAGCACAACCATGCACGAACCGAAGCCCGATCATGCACAACCCGAAGCCCGAGTGACACCCCCGGAGCCCGACCAGTTATGTAACCGGAGCCCGACCAGTTGTGTAACCAGAGCCCGACCAGTTGTGTAACCGGAGCCTGATCAATTGTGTAACCGCAAGCCTAGCAAGTATACATTTCCATCCAACTCCCACCAAGCTAAACAAATAACCCCAGAGCTCAACCAAACTACATTCCTAGCTCGACCAAACAAACACTTCCACAAACCGCAAGCCTAGCATGAATGAACCAAACAAACAATTCAAAACAAACATGAAAGAAACAACATCTGGATCACAACCATATATGAACCGAAGCCTGATCATGCACAACCTGAAGCCCAAGTGACACCCCCGGAGCCCGACCAGTTATTTAACCGGAGCCCGACCAGTTGTGTAACCGGAACCCGACCAGTTGTGTAACCGGACCCCGACCAGTTGTGTAACCGCAAGCCTAGCAGGTATACACCTCATCCAACCCCCACCAAGCTAAACAAACAGTCCCAAAGCCCAATCAAACTTCATTCCTAACTCGACCAAACAAAAATCTCCTTAACCCTACCTAAAAACCCTCTTACTTACCTAGAAACCAACTATGGCGCCATAGCAAACAAAAACTTGAGCAATGTACATAAAAGGAAACCCAGATTTCTAGCACACATGACCTCAGAGCCCTAGCAAACAAACATGAAGCACTAGTACACAAACAACCTCTGGAGCACAACCATGCACGAACCGAAGCCCGATCATGCACAACCCGAAGCCCGACCAGTTATGTAACCGGAGCCCGACCAGTTGTGTAACCAGAGCCCGACCAGTTGTGTAACCGGAGCCTGATCAGTTGTGTAACCGCAAGCCTAGCAAGTATACATTTCCATCCAACTCCCACCAAGCTAAACAAATAACCCCAGAGCTCAACCAAACTACATTCCTAGCTCGACCAAACAAACACTTCCACAAACCGCAAGCCTAGCATGAACGAACCAAACAAACAATTCAAAACAAACATGAAAGAAACAACATCTGGATCACAACCATATATGAACCGAAGCCTGATCATGCACAACCTGAAGCCCAAGTGACACCCCCGGAGCCCGACCAGTTATTTAACCGGAGCCCGACCAGTTGTGTAACCGGAACCCGACCAGTTGTGTAACCGGACCCCGACCAGTTGTGTAACCGCAAGCCTAGCAGGTATACACCTCATCCAACCCCCACCAAGCTAAACAAACAGTCCCAGAGCCCAATCAAACTTCATTCCTAACTCGACCAAACAAAAATCTTCTTAACCCTACCTAAAAACCCTCCACTTACCTAGAAACCAACTATGGCGCCATAGCAAACAAAAACTTGAGCAATGTACATAAAAGGAAACCCAGATTTCTAGCACACATGACCTCAGAGCCCTAGCAAACAAACCTGAAGCACTAGTACACAAACAACCTCTGGAGCACAACCATGCACGAACCGAAGCCCGATCATGCACAACCCGAAGCCCGAGTGACACCCCCGGAGCCCGACCAGTTATGTACCCGGAGCCCGACCAGTTGTGTAACCAGAGCCCGACCAGTTGTGTAACCGGAGCCTGATCAGTTGTGTAACCGCAAGCCTAGCAAGTATACATTTCCATCCAACTCCCACCAAGCTAAACAAATAACCCCAGAGCTCAACCAAACTACATTCCTAGCTCGACCAAACAAACACTTCCACAAACTGCAAGCCTAGCATGAACGAACCAAACAAACAATTCAAAACAAACATGAAAGAAACAACATCTGGATCACAACCATATATGAACCGAAGCCTGATCATGCACAACCTGAAGCCCAAGTGACACCCCCGGACCCCGACCAGTTATTTAACCGGATCCCGACCAGTTGTGTAACCGGAACCTGACCAGTTGTGTAACCGGACCCCGACTAGTTGTGTAACCGGACCCCGACCAGTTGTGTAACCGCAAGCCTAGCAAGTATACATCTCATCCAACCCCCACCAGGTTAAACAGTCCTAGAGCCCGATCAAACTCCATTCCTAGCTCGACCAAACAAAAATCTCCTTAGCACTACCTAAAACTCTCCACTTGCCCTAGAAACCAACTATGGAGCCATAGCAAACAAAAACTTGAGCCATGTACAAAAATAGAAACCCAGATTTCTAAC